GGGGGGGGGGGGTGTTGGTCGGTGAGATTTAAAATGTTGTGGTCCGGAAAATTTTTTTGCCCCCACCTGGGTTTTTGCTGGCCCCTCCTGACCAAAAAGCCTGGCTACGCCTCTGGAACTATATATACATATACTGATAAAACGGCACATGACTTTAGTCAGTAAATACAGTGAGTAAAATAAAAAATGAGTAAAAAGTCAAAGAAATTAGCTAGAGTTTTTGTAGCATTAAGTTTCTTCAAACAAAAATTGATAGAGTACAAATCATCGTGTGGACATGTAACTAACTGAAGAGGTTTTGTTATTTGTGCTGTAGATGCTGTTATTGGATTCACAAGCCAAACATATGATGTCCCAGAGGACCAGAAGGCCCAAATTTCAATCGAATTTATACGAGGCGAAGCAACATTACCCGTCACCGTCCGGTTAGTCTCTAATTCTATCTGCAATATCACACCATTTTTCGCATGCTCAAAGAAATTACATACATGACCCACCTTTGACTGACCCACATTCGACTCTTTAATCTAGTGTCTTCATCAAGGGTGAACAAAGTCCAAACGCATGGCTCCTTTATTTATACTCTAAAGGGCAACGGTCCGTCACACTTCGTTGGCCGATGACGTCATCCGTCAAATATATAATAAATTAATAGCTAGGTAACCTCTGATGAAGACATTAGATCGGAGTATCGAAACGTTGGGTCGTAAATGTAAATTCTTTTAAGGTAGCATTCATCTACTTTAACTGAAGTAGCTAAGCGAGTGAAAATATATCAGATATACCTGGTTGACAATAATTGTGAATAACTCTTCATTTGTATCTGTAGCTTAAGCACCAGCCCTACAACTGCAAGTGAAGAAGATTTTAAGTCAAGAGAAGTAGATGTAACATTTCAAGCAGGAGAAACTGGTCCAAAAGTTGTTGAAATTGACCTGGTTGATGATTTACTAGTTGAAGCAATGGAATCATTCAACGTTTCGCTCGTTTCTACCTCGAATCCAGCTGTTTCGTTAGAAAACCCAGCAACAGTGAACATTTTGGATAACGATGGTAAAACTGTTGGTTAAGTGCATTGAAATAAGGATTTTTTGAATTAAAGGTTTTTGGCAAGAGGAAAATTTAGATTTAAGGCGGGATTTTTCAACAACTGTTTCTTGTTGAAAAGCAATTAGTATCTAGGCTATAGAAAATACTCAGTACCTGAAAATACTACATGTTCACCAAACATTGACGTCACTGCCGTTGTTATACTAAGCATGACGTTTCACTGATATGGCAGATATTTTTGCTTTGAACAAACTTTTCGGGAAAAACAACAGTGATCCCCATTTTCTATTTGTTAAATATTTTGGATTAGTGAAACGAAAACTTTATACAACAAATAACTTTTAAAATCGCCAGTTCAGATTTTTTGAACTTTAATAAAACGTGCTTATTTTCACACTTTCCAGGCTTTCTTGCCATCCTACTTTTCCTACTTTTCTTCAACTTTCCAACTTTTCCTATTTTTTATTAAAAATTACTTGATTTTCCTACTTTTTCCAAATATTCAACTCCCCCCCAGTTAATCAAGCATCATATATACAGGGCCGTAGCAACTGGAGGGAGGGCATTTCAGAGACTCTAAATTTAAAAATTTCCTTGGGCCTTCGGCGGCTGCCGCAGTGTGGATTGGTGCATTGTGTAGCCCAATACATGCATTTGAATTGTGTTGCTGCAGAGCCGATGCCTTAGCTTTTATACCTATACAATTTAAAAGTTTTGAGAAAAAAATCCTGCATAGATGAATGAGTACATAAAAATATTGAGCACCAAAAATTCACACAACTTCCCCATCAGATATCTAATGGTCTACCCCTTACCACATATATCCTAGGGGGGCCAATTTTGTATATTTTTGTGTTATTTGCATCTCCAAAACTCATACTTTTCTCCTACTTTTCTAAACATTTTCCTACTTTATTCCTACTTTTCCTAAAATTCTAGTCCTACTTTTGTCCTACTTTTCTACACAAGGATGCCAGAAAGCCTGACTTTCCAGTATTTTTTAGGTAGTATTTTCAACAAGTAACAATTGTTCAAAAATTCGGCCCTGAATCGTAAATGTTCCTCTTGCCAAAAAAGAGTATATAAGGTGTTTAATCTTAAAATCGTTATTTTACACCTTTATGTTAAAAGTCTATAATAAAAGCGGGAATTTGGTGAGGTTTAATTTTGAAGTCAAAATGGGTATGATCCTACACAGATCTAGAATCGAATTTCGTTTTGTTAATATTTGGCAGAACATACAAGATTGTTACATGTTATAAAAATAATTAACACTATTGTCTCACTTTGATAACGCGGCCAGAACAATAATTTATAAAGTTTTACAATTAATTTCTCATTTGCAGAAGCTGTTATTGGTTTTACCCAAGATGTTTACGAAATAATTGAGGGTTCAGGAAAAGCTAGGGTTAAAGTCGGTCTCCTTTCTGGAGAAACCGCTGTTCCAGTTACAGTCAGGTATATTAAAGATTAATTGAAACTTACAACTGCAGGCAATATATTTTATGGGCAAAATTTCCTTTTATATATATAGAGGATATTACACGTATTATATATATGTACATACGAAAATTTTTCGTAACATCACACAAATTTTCCAAAAAACACTACATTGGCCACAAAATTGACTAAATTTTCGACAAAATTGACAGAATTTGTCGACAGTCATATTTTGATCGGCTGGCTGGCCGTC